GCGGCGGCGGCGGCGGCTGCAGCGACGGCCGCGACGGCGGTGGCGGCGGAGACGACGGCTGCAACGGCGGCGGCGGTGGAGACGACGGCTGCAGCAGCTGCGGCGACGGCGGCTGCGGAGGCGGTGGAGGAGGAGACACCGGGGGAGGGACAGACGGCGAGGACTGCGCCGGAGGACTACCAGAGTCAGAAGACTCGTCGACCGGGACGACCGACGGGAGGGGGGTGACGTGAGACACACCAGAGGGGACCGGACGGGGGGGCGGGGGGGGGGAGGGGCAGGGACCACCGGGGAAGGAGGGACCAGGAACAGGGGGGGAGTAACCGGGGGACCACGGTGGGGGAAGCAGCGGTAGAAGGAGACGGACTCGTCAAAGGTGACGTCGCGAGAGTGAAAGAAGCGGTGAGACGGCGGGTGGTAGAAGTGCCAGTCGGACGCGTCAAGAGGGAAACCGAGGAAGACGCAGGGGAGGGTGCGGGCAGTGAGCTTGTCCGTGCCAGAGGCACGAACGTGAGCAAGGCAGCCCCAAACGTGGAACGCAGACGCGTCACCAGGGGACCCGGTCCACAGAAGGGTCGGCGAAACCGGCGGCCGCTGGGGGTGCGGCCACAGGTTAAGCTGGTGAGCGGCGTAGCGCACGGCGAACGGCCACAGAAAATGGGGTGCACCGGCGTGGATCATGGAGGTGCGAGCCACCTCCATGACCAAACCGATGCGTCGCTCAGCGACCCCATTCTGCTGCGGGGAGTCCGGCAGGGTAAACGTCTGGGTGATGCCCTCCGCACGACAGAAGCGACCAAGGACACCTGAGGCAAACTCGCCACCCCGGTCGGAGTGGAGGCGCAAGGCAGGGAGACCGCGGTGGACACGAGCAGAGACAAGCCAGGGGATGAGAACGTCAGGCACGTCGGCCTTCCGCTCCAGGGGAAAGACGGTGGTGTAGCGCGTGAAGTCGTCGACAAGCACTAGGAAGAAGCGCTCGCGACGCGGCCCATGGACCGGGGCTGGGCCCCAGACGTCCATGTGCAGAGTCTGCAGTGGTGCGGTGGTAGGGGGAAACGAGGAGGAGTGAGGGGCACGGCGGAGCCGGCCCTCGACACAAGGCGTGCACGGGGGGGCGGGGGAGGAGGGAAACTCGGGGAACGAACCGGGGAGACCAAGGACGAGACCGTGCTGGGACATGTGACGCAGACGCGGGAGTGCAGGGTGACCAAGGCGGTGGTGCCAAAGGAGAGTCGGGTGAGTGAGGGACCGACAGGAGCACGCAGCAGCAACCTGGGTGGACGCAGCGACCTGGGGGGAAGACCCAGCCGGGGAAGTCGCGGTGTCAAGTGTGAACAGGCCGGACACCGGGTCCCGGGGGAAAGTGGTAAGGGGGGCACCAGTGGCGGCCTCGGTACAGACAGCATACCGCTCGTGACCAGGGAACGTAGTGGTGACGCCAAGGTCCTGGAGGCAGCCGACACCAACTAGGTTCCTGGAGAACGAGGGGATATGCAGACCTGTGAGCGAACCTGAAGGAACCGCCGGACAGGGAAGGGAGGTGGAACTGCGGGCAACGACGGGACCACCGGAGGGGTCAGCAAGAGTAACTGCAGCGGGAACAGGCAGCGGCGTCAGCGTCGTGGAGTCGCGGAAGAAACACCGGGAGGCGCCAGAGTCCAAGGTGAAGGAAAGCGCAGCAGTCGCGCGAGGCGGCAGTGAAGCGGTGGAAGCACCGAGGCTAAGCAAAGCAGGAGATCCTACGCCTGACGCAGCAGGGGAGTCTACGCTAGGCACATCTACACTAGGCAACACAGGGTAATAAGAGGGAAGCACACTAGAGTCATCAGCATACATCACATGCAAGGCTGCTACAATGGCATCCATGTCCAAGTCAAAAATCTGAATGCTACGCCTAAGCAAGCTGTGCCAGTCCGGGAGGTCGGGCGCCGGGCCGAAGCGCTGACGGAACAGGTCGTCCAGACGACGAAAACAGCGAGGAGTGGAATGACCGATCTTACCGCAAACGAAGCCGCGGCGAGGACCGGTCTGGATCTGGTACTGACAGCGCCCGCCTCCAGAACCACCACCCGGCGCACCACCACGCGCACGACCACCACCAGCTCCAGGCCACCCAGGCGGGAGAGCACTCGCCTGCCTCGTCTGCGGCGGCTGCTGCGGCTGCTGCGGAGGCTGCAGCTGCGGCGACTGCTGCTGCTGCTGCTGCTGCGACTGTGGAGGCAGCGGGGCAGCTTGACTGGGCAGGGTCCCCACGTCCGCACCGGCACCGGACGACCCGACTCCACCACCACCCCCACCCGCACCCCCGCCGCCTCCGCCGTTCCCAACCTTGGGGCGGCGGCCCTTCCCCGAGCGGGACTGCACTGCAGCAGCAGTCTCAGCCACGGCGACAGAGCCGTCGGAGAAGGTACACTGAGCGGGGGCACAACCCTGAAAGATAGGGACCGGTACTGTACCGCTCGCCTGAGCGATGGAGCGGTGACGAGTCTCTATAACAGTCAGGGTGTCAACAAAGTCGGTGAGGGTGAGCGCAGCGGGGTGGATGCTAAGGAACTGGTCGCGGGCGGCGGCAAGGCGGTCAGGGAGGCGGGTGGCAAGGAGGTAGAGGGTAGAGGTCATGGGAGGCTGGTGGACTCTAAGCTGTGCATCAGTGCAGGCAGCGCGCCAGGTCTCATCTATCGAGCGCAGGTGGGCAGCGAGGTCAGCGACAGTGGGGAAAGACGCAAGGTCAGGAAAGAGCAGGGGGAGGATCAGGCGACCCACTGAGGCAGCAGGAGGGGTAGAATAGCGCTTGATGACAGCATCGAGGTAGGCCTGGGCGGTAGTAATGGTTCTAAAGCGAGGGCGCTCAGGGGGGGGGAGGGCATTGCTAATGGCGAGCTGAGCAAGGGCATCGCGGGAAAGCCAGACAGAGCGGGCAAGGGCAGCGGCGGCAGTGGACTCGCGCTCAGCGGGCGTGGGATCAGCGGGCAGCACAGCAGGGGGGTCAGGGCAGGGGAGCATACCGTCTAGGTGGGCAGAAAGCGGGTGGCCGTCCTGCCGCTGACCAGTGAGGTGGCGGCGAAGGTCAGCCAACCACGCCTCGAACTCCAGAGGCTGACCCTCAGCATCAAAACGAAGCTCAGCAGCCATCAGGGGCAGTGTAGGACGGTGGAGTGCGGTGTAGTGCTGTGCAGTGCGGTGCAGGGCGGTGCAATGCGGTGCAGTGCGATGCAGTGCGGTGCAGTGCGGTCCAGTGCGGTGCAGTGCGGTGCAGTGCGGTGCAGTGCGGTCCAGTGCGGTGCAGTGCGGTCCAGTGAGGTGCAATGCGGTGCAAGGCGGGGCAGGGAAGTGCAGGAGGGTGCAAAGGCGGCGCGAGGAACGGGGGACAGTACCAGGAGGGTGCAAAGGCAGGCGCGACGGGACCGGGCAGGCGCGACGGGGCCGGGCTGGCGCGACGGGGCCGGGCAGGCGCGACGAGGGGCCAGGCAGACGCGACGGGGCCGGGCGGCTGCGACGGGGCCGGGCGGCTGCGACGGGGCCGGGCGGCTGCGACGGGGCCGGGCGGCAGCGACGGGGCCGGGCAGGACACAGCAGGGCCGGGCGAGGGCGACGGGGCCGGGCGGGCGTGACGGGGCCGGGCGGGTGCGACAGGGGCCGGGCGGCGGCGACAGGGGCCGGGCGGGCGCCACGGGGCCGAGCGGCTGCGACGGGGCCGAGCTGGGGCGACGGGGCCGAGCAGGTGTGACGGGGCCCAGGAGGGGCGCTACGGGGCCCAGGGAGGAGCGCGGCAGGGCCCAGGAGGGGCGCTAAGGGGCCCAGGGAGGGGCGCGACGGGGGCCTGGGAGGGGCGCTACCAAGCCCAGGAGGGGCGCGACAAAGCCCAGAAGGGGCGCTACGAAGCCCTGGAAGGGGCGCGACGGGGCCTGGAGGGGCGCTACGAAGCCCTGGAAGGGGCGCGACGGGGCCTGGGAGGAGCGCGACGGGGCCTGAGAGGGGCACGACAGGGCCCAGGAGGGGCGCTAAGGGGCCCAGGAGGGGCGCGACGAGGCCCAGGAGGGGCGCGACGGGGCCCTGGAGGGGCGCTACAGAGCCCAGGAGGGGCGCGACGGGGGCCTGGAGGGGCGCTACGAAGCCCTGGAAGGGGGCGCGACAGGGCCTGGAGGGGCGCTACGACGCCCTGGAAGGGGCGCAACGAGGCCTGAGAGGAGCACAACGGGGCTAGGGGGGGGAGTCGCGACTGGGCTCAGGAGGGGCGAGGCTAGGCTAGGAGACGCGACGGGAGGAGCGGAAGCGGTAGGTGGGGGGGGGGGGTCGAAACCTACGCTCTGATACCATCTCAAAACTAGAATTGAATGATGATAGAGTTAGAGAGTACATGCACATATACCTAAATGTTGTACCCTCTAGGAGGTTACTCTATACAGTCTATACAAACATGATCAATAAACATGTTTGACAACATAACCTACTCTGATACCATATCAGAATGAAGAATGACTAGAATGGGGAGATACAAGGCAATATAGATTGGTGAGCTGTACCCACTAAGGCACAAACACATATAGTCTACAGTAACTGCATAAGTTATGTTTAACAATATTCTATATATTTAGAAAATTATTGCATGTTCGTGTAACAAATCAGAAATCTTTGAAGAAGCCGTCTGATCACTTAGAAAGTGGCTGGGGGCAATCGTGGACCCTGCACCCATGGAGTGACTATTTCGACGAGTGTTATATACGGGGGAATACGGTACCTAGTCTCGTGACACTAACCTACTCAAGATACCATATCAAAGTTAACGAATGACTAGAAAGGTGGGATTCAATATAATATAATCTAGTGGATCGTACTCTCTAAGGCACAACCCTATATACTCTATTACAAAATACTAAGATATGTTTGACAATTTCAGGGCTGTTTTCGGGGGACCTCAGCCACCAAACCAGGGCTGACGTTTCAAAAAAAACCAATCTACAGCCCTGCTCCCAACCCAACCAAAGGAAGTGTAACAAGGACAGAAAGTTCCACTAAAGGCTCAACTCACTAGGAGTTGGAAAATACAAGAAAATTTGGGGCATACATAGGTACCGTAGATGATCTTACCCTAGCCCTTGTCCTAACTTCCTAATCCTGGACAATGCCTTGCCTCTAGGGCGAAACATTGCAGGAAAAATGGCTAATACGGTACCTGATAGCCTTTTGATATTCCTCTTTGTAGATACGGCCCCTTGTCCTTATCCCTTACTTCTATGGTTGTCTTGAGATGAATGTCTTGAAATGATTATGGCCGTCAGATCTGTAACAGGATGATCGGAGCCTTCAGATGGGGGAAACACCCCAACCTCGTCAAGGTACAGCTTCTTGTAGGTTAATCCAGGCCGTCCAATCAACCGCTGGGTGATCGGAAACCGTTAGATGGGGAAAACACCTGCTCGTCGTCAAGATGTGCCCAGCTGCCCAATCGGTGCAGCGAGCGGCGCGACGACATTGAGTGGGCGCAAGTGCTACTGAAGCGCGCCGACTTGCACTTGGCTTTGCCGCGAAGGATTGACGACGATGATGCTCCACCGTAACCACCACTAGGGCTTTCGCCAAGCGAACGATGACTAAACCCCAAATCCCAGCTGAAGTCTCCGCGCGGACCCAACCTAGCGGAAAGCGGCCCCGCGGAAAGCCGCAACTCCGCGGAAAACGCCCCCCCCGAGGCTCCGCCGCTAGTAGGGCTGGCGGGCACGAGGAAGGTGGCGGAATGATGGCGACTGGAAACAGGGGTTGTCTTCGCGCGCGAGATGGGCGGGTGATGCGCAACGTGAGTGGCGGGAGCGCGGGGGAGAGGAGCGTGCGTGTCGTAGAAGCTTAGATCGCGCGACGCTTGCGCGCGCATGTGGGAGTGAGCGTGACTGTGCGACGCCGCGAGACTGCCGCGCGGCGAGCGAGTGTGCGACGTGCGAACGGAGGGCGAGGAGCTCGGACCATGGCTGTGCACACGTGCGACGTGTGCGACTGGTGACGGCGACAGATCCAAGGCGCGCGACGAGAACGACCGCGAGAGAAATCGACCGGAGCTGAAAAGCGGCGTCGACTCCAACGAGCGCTCCTTGACCGAGAATGACGTCAGCTCCAACGATCGTCGCCGTGAAACGCGGCGCTGAGGCGGCGGCGGCTCGTCCGCTTCGTCGTCCTCCTCATTCCCGTCGTCTTCCACGTCGTTACAAGTCAGCTCCAATACCTCCTTGGACCGTCGCCGGGAAACTCGGCGCTGAAGCGGCGACGGCGGCTCGTCGGCTTCGTCGTCCTCCTCGTTTCCGTCATCTTCTTGGTCCACCTCGTTACAATAACTATCTCTAATGGCGTGTGTAGCAGAATCTCTCCTTGTAGAACCCGCCGACGAATGAAGCTCCCCGCTGCCACCGCGGATAACGGCACCGCCGCCCCCGCCGCTGCTAGCGGCGGAAGGAGCCCCGCCTTCGTCGCCGTCGCCGCCGCCAATGGACGACTCGATCATGTGGATGAAGTTTTCGCAGCGCACGGCGCTGAGCTGGCGCTGCGTCGCGAGCAGCGCGAGCTTCCCCTCGAGCGCGCGGATCTCCATGTCCTCCACGCTGTGCCGCATCGCCTGCAGCGATGGCGACGTCGCCTCCAGCGTCGGCGAAAACATCGGCGACGTCGCCTGTTGCGTCGGCGACAGCGCGGCGACAGCCGGATTGGAGTCGGGCGCGTCGTCTTCAGACGAAAACTCGCTCCCCTCCTCGCTACTACTCGGGCTCCGACTGAAACGCGGCGCCACGAACGAATGATGGCGGCTCGGGAAGGACGGCGACGCCAGCGTCGCCGGCGAATCGGGGAAGACGCTGCACGAGTCGCAGAGCGACTTTGGGCTGGAATCGAACGGGTCGTCGTAGCGGGCGGTGGCGGCGCCGAGGAGGGTGTGCGCGGGATGCGGGCTCCTTGCGGTAAAGGCCGAAGCCGCCATTTTGTAATAACACATGTAGGAAAGCGAACTAAGACGCGGTTCTGGACCTGAGGAGTAGTGTTAGCCGGAACGCGAAACGATGCACGGGATTGAGGTGTACTGTTGTTGAGAATGATCGGTAGTTGGAGAATGTAGACTCGCGAAAAAGGGGGAAACGCACTGCGGACAAGCCACAGCGAAAACGCGACTATATTTCTGATCAACAGAAGCTGTGGCTCCTGTTATCAGCAGTGGTCGAGGGCGAGGCGTCAGATCAGGCACTGGCCTGCCTGAAGCGTGCCATGTGGGAGAAAGGAAGGAATGAGAGGCGCGAAAATAGAGCAGAGTCGTTATGAAAGGTGGGGTTGCTCCAACTGACTATAATCCCGCTCGTGGGGTGTGTGTCAAATACGTGCGATGAGGCGTGTAAGAACGCTTCACGAGTGATTGGCGGCTGTGACTTCGGTTCCAAATGTGCGGGAGGGGCTGGTGATGAGAAGGGCTGAACAGAGAGAAAAGGCGGAGCCAAGTGAGCGGGGAAGGCTGGGCCAAGTGAGTGTCCAGGAGTCTGGAAGGGGAAAATCTGCGGACAGGGCTGAAGGCGGGACGCACAGAGGGAAGGCGGAGGGGGGGTGGATTGGGGGGAACGCGGACAGGGCTGAAGGCGGGGGTTACTGGAACTGGGAAAGTCCTAGTGAGAGAAACAGAGGGGAACCGGGGGAACAAAAGCAGAAGAAATGTCTGGAAATTCCGGAAAGGGGAAGCGCAACTTGCCCCTTGGCAGGGGGGATGGAGGAAAGGCGCAGCAGCCAAGTGGAGCCACCGAATCAATGTTGCAGGAGGGACGGGCAGGTGGGTGAGAATTTGGATTCAACCGGACACGAAAACAAACAAAACCGATACACCTATCCCGCGTCATTTTCCCACCCAGCACCTTCTCGAGCCGTGCTACACATGCGCAAACGACGAGCTACAGTAAATCATACGACAAGTCCCAGTTGCGCAAACGACAAGCTACAGCGCAAAACACGACAAGTTACAGCGAGATGAGAAAATGGCGGGGGATACATTTTATGTCAGATGGAGGTTATGGACTGTAGTCGCTGACAGTGGATCTTGCGGGCTGGGCAGCTGACGTCCATCACCAGGAAATCATTGCGTCGCGCCGCATCCTTCCCTCACGTCCGTAGCCTCGCTGGCATGCGCTGGAGGTGGGTTCCAGAAGTCGCATGTGACCCCTTTTTGTCTTTCGCGCCAGCCCCACCACTTGCTCGGAGTGTGAAACAAAGCAGCCGACCTCGTTCGGTGATGTGGCTGAAAGTGCAACCCAGTGCCATTATGTCAAGCAACCCATACGATACACTTAACCCGCAGTAATGTTTACCCTGAAACTAAGCGGCAGCATAATTTAAGTCTCCACCCTGACCATTTCTGAGTGTGTAGACAGTACTATACATATGCCTTTGATGCAACGTTGTACTCTATAAATAATATATCCTTATAGACCGCTCCTTCCGTATACTCATGTCATATCAACAGTTGTCATTACGGTCAATTCATGGAATATTTCCGACAGCCAATCAGCATGTTTGTGCGATTTGAAACGACGAGTTTCAATGGTGGGCGAGCTAAAACTATTAGTTTGTGTCAGATTCGCCAACCAATGCGTAGTGCCAGATCCATACGATTGGGAGGATATTTAGTACACCACTAGCCCAGTCAGCTATAGGCCTCCACGTTTGGCGCACAAAATCCTTTCAAAATATCTCTATAGTAGAACGTCTGTATTGTCACCTGATTGTAGTCAGAAGCGTGTTGTTTCCAGTTGCGTAGCATGACCAAGTTGCACAAAAAAAGTCTAGTTACATTCCTCGTCAATTTCTGTCTAGATAGAAACGTAAATATAACCGTGTCGTCCTTGTTCGTAGTAGAGCGCGATGAATTTTATGAGAAAACATAAACCTTGAGAAGACGCACATGCAACCAGGTGTGTAACTCATGATCGCAACATACGCCAACACCGCCGACCATGAACAATCCATAAAATCCAATGCTTAAAAACCCTTCTAAACTGTATAGTCCCGTCTCCCCTTAACATAGCACCATTATTACATGTAAGGGAAATGTCCCAAGTCAAGCCGCGGGTCTCAAGGGAATATGACCTATACTCCCTTGTTCCTACAGCCTAAACGCGGCAGACTTCACGGGGGGGGGGGGGGGGGGGACTTAGAGCGCTGCCTCAGCTGACATCGGGTTCCCTGACCCGAGAAACACTAAATTGAGCAGGAAACGTTTCGTGTAGCGACCCAAGTTCAATTCGTTTTTCAAGGGTACCCGGATCTGGTATTCAGGGGCTGTTTTTAGGGGGTGAATAGCCTCTCGACGGCACCCCCTGTGAAAATACTGGGTTTGAACTTACCGCCAGCTAGGTGTACTCTGGCTCCACGTGCCATATCACAAACCAGGCCGAAAATGTTAGGGCTACCATTTTCCACATACAGGTTTCACCTTGCTTACACCCGTTTGTGAAAACTGGGTACATTTAGACCGCGGTAATGTTACACCCTGAAATTGGGCGGAAGCATATTTTTTGTTTCCACCCTTACCATTTCTGAGTGCGTAAACAGTTCTCCCTTATTCCTACGGCCTAAGTTCGGCAGACCCCATTTGGGCAAAAAGTTTTAGCACTGCCTAAGCTAACGTCGGGTTTACTGACTCGAAAAACACTAAATCGATCAGTAAACGTTTTGTCTAGAAACCCAAGCTCAAACTGTTTTCGAGGGGTATCCGAATCTGGTCTTCAGGAGTTGCTTTCGGGGGGTGAATACCCTCTCAAGCGAAGTGTCGTGAGAAGAGCAAGGGTTGAGCACAAAGCGTGGGAATATTTGAAAGAATGTGGACGATTCCAGAATGTACACAAGAGTTACCGGTTTTACCCCAAAGGCGATCGGGATGGGGAACGAGTACCCTTGTGGCCCGAGGCAGTGTAATAACGCCACTTTCATTTTGCAGACCTCGCCACGGGCATATGGGATTGTAAGTGTTGCTTTTGGGTTACCCTTTTTGTCATACGCGGGATGGTGGGATGGCGGAAGGGGGGGCTAGATTTGTTCGATTATGAACAGCTGGTACCCCCTTGATTTTTTTGCGATGTCTTCGAAATTTGTCAGAATCATAAAGCAGGGTAACACAGCCCACAAACCAGCCCGTGGGTTCGTTGCGACTCCGACGGCGTTGATGCCTTCTTTCGCACAAACTCCTGGCGAAGTGGTTGGAGGCGAGGTTAGACGGGCAAATGGGGTTTGTCACGCCAGGCAAGCTCATAAATGCCATTGTCTTGAATGGAAACAGTGCACACCATGTGCTTCAAAACGGGGTGCGGTTGCCCGTGCTAGAAACATGGTGCGGTTGCCCGTGCTAGAAACAGAAGTGATGCGGGAAGCTTCTGTGAGAGAACCGAGACCTGACTGACTCGGGCAACAAGGGTAGTGGGGGGAACTGTACAGCCCCAAAACTACAAATTCGAGATACGGAACTTGGCCAATCCTCGTTTTGCTGGAGCACAATTGGTGTGGCCTGAACCTGATTGAAACGACAAAGCAATGGAGGTGCAGAAATATCCGATTTCCGCCGCTAGGAAAAGAATATCCTTGGACGTTTCCAGAACGAAGTTTCACCAAAACTCTGCTGTACAGCAAAATTGTTTATTGCTAGCCCATCGCCCCATTACACTGGTCACAAAGGCATTAACAAGCTGTCTACATTACACACTCAGCTGACGGGGCTTGGCTGTGCTCAAGGTGGTTATCAACTATGCAACCGAACGACGTTTCCAGACGATTCTGGGAGTTTTAGGGAATTTTCGGAAACCCGATTTGGAATAATAAATGCGTTGCAACCGCTTTAGGCGGGAGGATGCCATTTTGTTTGTTTCCAGTGCCAAATGGCAACTTTCTATTGACTTTTGAAACAGTCACATTTCCTTCCGTGGGCTCTGATCCGAATCTGGATGCGGTCCCCACAGAAACCCATTGGTCGTCGTCCGTTCACAGCACAAGGCCATCGGTGCCACGAAACTCCAACAAGGTGAGGTACGCACCAATGGGTGTGTATGCAAGCCTGTCACTAGGCTTCTCGCGGTTCTTTTTGAGTCAGATTGTGTTGAGCTTCACTCCAGCTGACGTGGGTAGGGTGTGGCTCACTTTCCTAGCAACGTGGAGCGAGTCAATTTGTGCCCATGCGATAGCTCCCACCTTTGGGGGGTGAATGTGAGCGACATGGAAGTCGGCGTCTAGCTCGTTTGTGGAGGTGTCCGTTACGATTGAGTCACTCCGAATATCCATTTCTCCCGAGCTAGTAGTTACATCACTAAAGGCAAAATTGTCATTCATAGGATGCGATCCCCATAACCGCCTCCACGTGGTGCAATCTGTGGAAATGCTATAAGCACTATGTGCTAGATTTAACTGTGTATTAGTCGTATCCGGACACAAAGCTCGTTCGATCTAGATCTTCATTTAGGTAGGCCACTTGTACTACCAGAGAGTTCACTAACAAGCTTTGCACGCCTTCCTACAGTACCCAAGCGACTCCCCATTCCCGATCATATAATCCTTATACCCCTTACACTCCCCTCTAGCCGCCCACATTTCGCAGTACGGATGCTCGTCCATGCATCCAATCATATCCCTCCGTGCAGTGTACTTCTGAATCGCAATCAACTTTTCTGCCGTCCACTTCGGAGGCCCTTTGAGAACGGGGCAGTTCCGCTGGGCAGAGGAAGGGTCGTGGTAACCAGACGGGGTAACTTGGAAGAAGAGCAGGGCATCTCCTTTGACAGGGCGAACTGGAGAGAAGGTCACGGGGTTGGGTGGGGAGAGGAAGAATGGAGAAAAATGGTCGTGGTAACCAGACGGTTACTTGGAAGAGCAGCAGGGCATCTCCTTGGACTGGTCAAAGTGAGAAAAATGCGTCTGGGGTTGGGGAGAGGAAAAGGGGGGGGGGGGGGGGGGCGGGGGGGGAGAGGGAGGAATGTGGGTGATGGAGGGGTGGGGGATTGTGGTAACCAGAATAAATGTTTTTTTTTTACACGTCTCACGACGAAATTACTATCACAATGTGTGCTTAGTGTGGGGCATACCTGATACGCCTTGGCGTGCGCAGGGCGAGAGGGAGGAGTCCCACGTCCAGAGGGGCTGATCGGACTGCAAGGGGGAGGGGCGGTGCAAGAGAAGGGGTTTGAGTCAACTCAAAGGTCTCAGAGTGAGAGGGAGGAAGCCCACCCACCCAGGTCCAGAGTGGCTGCTCGGACTTCAAGGGGGAGACGCGGTGCAAGAGAAGGCGTTTGAGGAAGGAAGCCCACCCACGTCCAAAGGGGCTGATCGGACTGCAAGGGGGAAGGGCGAGCGAAAGGGAGTCAGGGGGTGAGGAAGGGGCCAAAGTGAGTAATGGGGGAGAGAGGGAGGAGTCTCATGTCCAGAGGAGCTGATTGGAGCGGAGTGAATCCTCCTTAACAAGAAAACGCATTGCATAGAATAACCTCTTCACGCCAAAAACAAAAGGCGAGAAAAAACCTTTCCACAAGCGAACGTACCCTGCCCTACCACAGGGTTATCATGTAACAACCTTTCATATAAGAGCCCCACCTTGCCCTGCGGGAAGTTCACTTCGCCGCCCTTCTGCACGTCGGAGAGGAAGAGGACAAGCGTTGCCACCCGGTGCCCAGACCTCTGCGTGTCGATATTATCTCGGAAGAACTCCAGGTGCACGTCGTAGGCTTGGCCCTCGTTGAACCGAACCTGCGTCCGAGCCTGGGGTTCTGGTTCGGACAGAGGAGAGGGGAAATAATCCCTACAAGGTGAATGGATGTGTTCCGGAAGAACTCCAGATGCACGTTGTAGGCTTGGCCCTCGTTGAATCGAACCTGCGTCCGAACCAGTGGGCCTGGTTCGGATTGAGTAGGCTTGGAAATGGTGAGAGAGGCGGGTTTTGGTTGGAGTCAGATGTGGTTTCTTCCGCGGTCATGCGATTCAAGAATTAAAGAGAAGAGAAGGAACCAGGACGAAGGAAGGACGAAGGAAGGACGAAGGAAGGATGCAATGTGAATGAAAGTATATATGAGTAGTGAGTAGTAGGGAACTGGCAAGTACCTCTTGGAAGGAAGACAAAGGAGGCACACTGAAAGTATGACAGCATTGCACGAAGGATTTGATAGGAGTGAGCTGTTAGGGCACATGGCAAGTACCTCTTGGAAGAAAGAGAAAGGCGGCGATTCGGTCTTCAATAGAGCGAAGCCGTGTGTTCTGGAGAAAGGAAACGGAAGGGGTGAACGGACGAGTGGTAAGACGAGGGAATGCAGGAAATGTGTTCAGGAAAAGGAAAGGTGTGAAGGGACGGGCTCTGAAGAGACAGAAGGGATGAACTGATAAGGGGTAATTAGGAGATAACAAGAGGAAGCAGACAATTAGGAATTCAGCTTATGCCGGGTACTTCCTTCATACTCACACATCTCAAACTTCTTTGATCATGACGTACGTAATACTTGCATTATTCGTTAGTCACATATTTGATACATACATGCTTTCGTTTAGTCACCTACCTGATACTTGCGAAGGTATGTGGCGTTGACCAGCCTTTTCAGCCTAGCAATCTTTGGCCGGGCCTGTAACCGATAGGAAAAAGAAAACAGTTTGTTTCTTTTGGTTTTCAAGATGCCCTGCAAGCAGCTTCAAGCAATCTTTGGGCGGGCCTGTAACCGATCGACAAAACCCCGCCAAGGGAAAATTAAAAAGTGATCAGAAATGGTTCCACAATTCATTTAAAAATAATCTGTAAGAGGCAAATGAAGAGTTGATAATGGAACGTCACACTGATTCTTAAGAGGCAAATTAGGAGGCAATTCACACTTACCATTGATTTTAAGAAGACACATTCTTCCGGGGACAAAAGTCCCTTATACACGTACACCCTGTAAACAAAGAAAGAAAGATGAGGTAATGTAACTCCAACAGACGTCTTCAAAGGTGGAGGACAGAAAAGCTTTCAAACGAAATGCAAGGTGCAAAATAGCGACTATTCTACAGTAAAGTGTACATGGGTGTAGACGAGACATTGACAACCCGCCTCTAATTAAACACCCAATCCAAGCCCCCTTTTGAGGCGCCTCAAAAGTACCTGGGTGTAGACTAAACCTTGACGATCTAGCTCTCATTAAACACCCAATCCAAGCTCCCTTACGAGGCGCCTCAAAAGTACCTGGGTGTAGACGACACCTTGACGACCCGGCTCTCATTAAACACCCACTCCGAGCCCCCTGCCGCCGTCCCATCACCACTCAAACCACCAGAAAGAGCCAAACTGCTCGAAAACTGAGGACTAGTGAGGCGAACCCCCCCTGCCATGCCACGGATACCCTTTTGGTTCGTATCAAACGCACCCCCTGCCACGCCGCGGATCCCCCCAACATCTTTGTACGTATCGCCGCTGCTCCCTCTGGTGCTGCTGCCTCTGGTGGTGCTGGCGGCAGCGGCTGCAGCTAGTCTGGCCTCTCGCTCCTGAAGCAGTTGCGGGGTGCCCCAGAACTCGATGCTGGACGGATGGATGGGGGGAGATGAAGAGAGGTTGAGAGAACGATGCGTAAGGAGTCTATTTTTTAGGCGCCTCAAAAATAGAATCCTCACGTCTGGCCTCTCGCTCCTGAAGCAGCTGGGGGGTGCCCCAGAACTCGATGCTGGATGGATGGGGGGAGATGAAGAGAGGTTGAGAGAACGTTAGGAGTTGGGCAAGGAAGAGGATACGACGGAAGGAGAAGGGCTAGGGCAGGATGGGAGGGGTAAGAGAAAGGGAGGAGGGGGAGTATGGAACGAAAGCAGCGGCTGCAGCTAGTCTGGCCTCTCACTCTTGACGCGGCTGGGGGGTGCCCCAGAGTTGAACGGGGGAGAAAGAAAAAAAGGGGGGCGAGAGGACGAACGGGGAAATGGGGCGGAAGAGAAAGAGAGGAGGGGGGAGGGGGAAGGGGGGGGGGGGGGAGAGGGGGGAAAAGGACGGGAATTTAAAATCTCAGAAGTATGTGACAGGGAGGAAGATCGAGAGGGCCTCTCTGAAAAAGAACACGGGGCAAGAATGAGGAAGGCGGGAGGCGTGTGAGGAAGGCGAGACTGAGGAACGCGGGAGGCGTGTGAGGAAGGCGAGACTGAGGAACGCGGGAGGCATGCGAGGTTGTTGAGCATTCTCAAAAGCCTATCGCAGGCGAGAGGCGTGTGAGGAAGGCAAGAATGAGGTAAAATTAGTATGAAGCAGAAGTTTTACGTGGTGGGGGGGGGGGAGCTTTTGAGTCGACTAAAAAGTAGTGTAAAGCAGAAGTTTTAGCTGGGGGGAGTGAGGTATAGGGACACGGGGAGAAGGGGAGAAGGGGAGATGGGGAGATGGGGAGATGGGGAGAAGGGGAGATGGGGAGATGGGGAGATGGGGAGAAGGGGAGATGGGGAGATGGGGAGATGGGGAGAAGGGGAGATGGGGAGATGGGGAGAAGGGGAGAAGGGGAGAAGGGGAGAAGGGGAGATGGGGAGATGGGGAGATGGGGAGAAGGGGAGAAGGGGAGAAGGGGAGATGGGGAGATGGGGAGATGGGGAGATGGGGAGATGGGGAGATGGGGAGAAGGGGAGATGGGGAGATGGGGAGATGGGGAGAAGGGGAGATGGGGAGATGGGGAGAAGGGGAGAAGGGGAGAAGGGGAGAAGGGGAGAAGGGGAGATGGGGAGATGGGGAGATGGGGAGAAGGGGAGATGGGGAGATGGGGAGATGGGGAGATGGGGAGAAGGGGAGAAGGGGAGAAGGGGAGAAGGGGAGAAGGGGAGATGGGGAGATGGGGAGATGGGGAGATGGGGAGATGGGGAGATGGGGAGATGGGGAGATGGGGAGAAGGGGAGATGGGGAGATGGGGAGATGGGGAGAAGGGGAGATGGGGAGATGGGGAGAAGGGGAGAAGGGGAGAAGGGGAGATGGGGAGATGGGGAGATGGGGAGATGGGGAGATGGGGAGGAGGGGAGATGGGGAGATGGGGAGATGGGGAGATGGGAGGAGGGGAGATGGGGAGATGGGGAGATGGGGAGATGGGGAGAAGGGGAGATGGGGAGATGGGGAGATGGGGAGATGGGGAAAAGGGGAGATGGGGAGATGGGGAGAAGGGGAGAAGGGGAGAAGGGGAGATGGGGAGATGGGGAGATGGGGAGATGGGGAGGAGGGGAGATGGGGAGATGGGGAGATGGGGAGATGGGGAGATGGGGAGAAGGGGAGATGGGGAGATGGGGAGAAGGGGAGAAGGGGAGAAGGGGAGAAGGGAGATGGGGAGATGGGGAGATGGGGAGAAGGGGAGATGGGGAGATGGGGAGATGGGGAGATGGGGAGAAGGGGAGATGGGGAGATGGGGAGAAGGGGAGAAGGGGAGAAGGGGAGAAGGGGAGAAGGGGAGATGGGGAGATGGGGAGATGGGGAGATGGGGAGAAGGGGAGATGGGGAGATGGGGAGATGGGGAGAAGGGGAAATGGGGAGATGGGGAGATGGGGAGAAGGGGAGATGGGGAGATGGGGAGAAGGGGAGAAGGGGAGAAGGGGAGATGGGGAGATGGGGAGATGGGGAGATGGGGAGATGGGGAGGAGGGGAGATGGGGAGATGGGGAGATGGGGAGATGGGGAGATGGGGAGATGGGGAGATGGGGAGATGGGGAGATGGGGAGATGGGGAGATGGGGAGATGGGGAGATGGGGAGATGGGGAGATGGGGAGATGGGGAGATGGGGAGAAGGGGAGATGGGGAGATGGGGAGAAGGGGAGAAGGGGAGATGGGGAGAAGGGGAGATGGGGAGATGGGGAGATGGGGAGATGGGGAGGAGGGGAGATGGGGAGATGGGGAGATGGGGAGATGGGGAGGAGGGGAGATGGGGAGATGGGGAGAAGGGACGGTGAGTAAGAATAAAAGGGGAAGGAAAGGGGAGGAGAAGGGGGAGAGAAGGGAAGAGAAGGGAAGAAAAGGGTAAGTGAAATGACAGGAGGTAAATGCGGGGAGAGAAGAGAAGGGGAGGTGAAGAGTGGAAGGGAAGGAAAGAAGGCGGAAGAGAGGATAAACGCGACGCACAGTCGGGTCATCCCACCTGGTGAAAGGACAGCTGCATTCGCTACTAAATGCTGTAACGAATCTCACCCTAACGAATCTTGAAGTCCTCTGGCCGGCGAAACGCAAACCGCGAGGAGGAAGAGGAAGAGGACTCGCATTCTGCCCGCTGAGAGATGGGAAACGGTAAGGGACGGAGAAAAGCCGTCTTCCGGCGAGAGATGCAAGACGGCAACTGGTAACTTATCAGGGAGAAGCAAAAGCGAAATGACACATCAGCCTAAGACTGTTATAACAGGTTCTACTTTCTGTAAAGTCTCTCAAATGGCTACTCTGTGTAGTTTCGCGAATGTCAAAGATTCCAAGGAATCCCTGCAGAGAAGCTTTCGCGATTGGCAGACTAGCAGATTTGAGGGTGTGACTTCACACACATTACTTTGTCCCTAGTTTGAATCTGGTCCATTTTTCCTCGATATGGAAACAGATGGGTTTGATGCTCGAAGTCACACTTAGGAAGAAAAGTGAAAACCGCCAACAGTTATGACATTTTGAAAGCCCTTCTCCGTTGTTATTCACCCCAACAATTTTGTATCAGCGTTGGCGATGAACTTGGCCATTGACGCCATTATCAAGTATCGCAAATGTTCGTTATAACCTGGTCAAGGAACTCTTCCGCGCATTTGTCTCCTCTTGCATTGTCGACAAATTCACGACCCCTGGTTACCGGAAGTTCCAAGACAATGATCCATACCTTTCGACGAGCCCCCGATACGTTGATATCAGTTGCGCATTTCCATAATATCGTCAGGGCATTGATGTTATGATATAGGAAGTGTCAATTAACTATAACGTGAGAATACAAGGTCGCTATTGCAATGAAAGGCACGAGGTTATTTAGGGGTTGGCATACTAGGGCGATAACCTCGGAACGTGGGTAGGTTCGGCAATGTGGCGACTGTGCCGGACGCGACTCGGGAAAGGGTTGGGCCGATAAATGACGCCGAACGTGACGAGTCGAGGAGTTTGGGTGTACGCACTAGCGTACGACTCAGTAAGGAATGGAAATTCTTTACACTAACCCCCCCTCCTAAACGAGACCGCATGCATCGGAAACATTCCGACGCTGATAATACGCAGTTAGAATCGGGTGTGATTCTAGCTCAGCGAGAGGCACCCAGCTGTCATCTTTTGACGTTCGATCGCGCCAGCGGACGAGAAAATTCACCATCCAACGATTCAGCTGTGTCGTGACGCGATGGGCGAGAATTTTCAAGGGCTCGGTCGTCGGTTCCTGAAGGGGCGTCAGCTGCGCTACACTGCGTTGGCGTGCCAATTCCGACGAACTGGGGACGTAGGGCCGTAGGAGGCTGACATGGAAAGCCGGGTGGTGACGCCAGTCAGCCGGGAGTCGTAGGTGAGCAGTGACAGGTGTCACCATATTGGTCACTTGAAAAGGCCCACAGAATCTGGGTCGGAGCTTGCTCGGGATCGGCAGGCGCAAATTGCGAGTGTCGAGGAGTACAAGATCTCCCACTTTGTAAGTGACATCACGCCAATGATGATCGGCTTGTCGGCTTGCGACCAGGTTGGCTTTCCTGATTGCCTCAGCTGATTTTCTCGGGCGGCGAGAATGTCTTCGGCAAATTTCTGGGACCGGGGCACGGGTGTCTCGACGTTCTAGGTAGAGGGTACCGCCGGGTCCTGTCCGTAATTGAGGAAAAATGGGGACTGATGGGTTGTGGCGGAGGGCGCGTTATTATACGCGAATTCCAGCAACGGAAGAGATTTCTCCCATGTCTGTGGGTCAGTAGAGGTAGTCCGAATGAATTGCTCCATAGTTTGGTTGACTCGTTCGGTCTGCCCGTCGGTCTCTGGGTGGTAGGCGGAGGAAAACTATAGTTTGGTGCCAAATTGATTCCATAGGTGGCGCCAGAAATTCGATGTGAATTTCGGGTCTCGGTCGGAAATAATTGCGGTAGGCAGTCCGTGCAGTCGAATGACGTTGGCGATGAACAGTTGGGCAGTTTGCTCAGCTGTAATTTTCTGTTGGCAGGCGATGAAGTGCGCCATTTTTGTGAGTCGGTTAACGACCACGAGGATGGCGTCGTTTCCGCTGGGACCGGCTGGCAGTCCTGTCACGTAGTCCATCGTGATGTGTTGCCAGGGTCGCTCGGACCGATCCAACGGCTGTAATAGTCCGGCTGCACGCTGATGGGATGATTTCATGATCTGGCAGGCGGTGCAAGAGGACACGTACTTGCGCACGTCGTCAGCCATGTTCGGCCAGTAATAATTCCGCTGTAACGTCCTCATGGTATTGTCGACTCCGAAATGTCCGGATGTAGGGTTGTCGTGGGATTCCTGTATTAAAAGGGTACGAAGTAAATCGTACCTGGGCACCCAGATGCGAGAAGTGTCGCACTTATTAAAATAGTGTCCGGTGGCGGTGGTATGCTGTTGATGAATAGTAGAGCGGAAGAAGGGGTCGATTTTGTAGCCGTGGGTAAATAGTCCGGTAAGTAGTGGGCTGGTCTGGGCGACTAGTATGGCGGTTGTATTGGCTGTGGGTCGAGTCAGGGCATCGGCAATATTATTGGCGCCCCGTTTGTAGGTGATGGTGTAGGGGAAGTTTGACTCTAGGAAATCGAGCCATCGGATCTGTCGTGGGTTGAGATTCGGTTGGGCTCGCAGGTACTGGAGGGATTCGTGGTCGGTCCGCACATAGACGTCAGCGCCTGTCAGGTAGCACCGCCAGGTCTTGAACGCGTCGACGATCGCCAGCATTTCCTTGTCGTGTACCGTGTAGTTTTTTTCCGCGCCCTGCAGCTTTTGTGATTCGTAGGCGACCGGCTGTAATCCGTCGCCGATATCCTGTAGAAGAACTGCACCAATGGTGATGTCCCTGGCATCAGTGATGACTTTGTATGGATGGTCAGGATCGGAGATGCGAAGGACGGGCGGCGACGTGAGGACGATCTTCAGTTGGTCGAATGCAGCTTGCTGCTTCTCTCCCCACCAAAAACAATCGTGATCCTTGAGTCGGTCAGTTAACGGGGCAGATAACCATGCCATATTTGGGATAAACAGGCGGACGTAGTTGACGAAACCCAAAAATTTCTGCAGCTCCTTTATGTTGGTTGGCGGCTTCCACTCCTGTATGCTATTGATTTTCTTGGGGTCGATTTTCACTCCTTCGGTAGAAACCATATGGCCCAAAAACTCCAACTCCTGCTTAAAAAAGTCGCACTTAGACCCTTTCGTGATGAGGCGATTCTTGTGCAGCAGCGTGAAGACTGCATCAAGATCCTTTAAGCGTTGCTCCCTGCTACGGCTGTAGATTAGTGTTGTCGAGGTAGATAATGACGCATTTGTCCAAGAGTTCCCTGAAAATTCCGTTCATGGTCATCTGGAAAGTCTAGGGCGCGTTTGTGAGGCCAAAGGGTATCACCAGGTACTCGTAGCTGCCGTAGCGGGTTGGGAATGCCATCTTGTGACAATCCTCGACTGCAAGTCGATTTTCGAGAAGAACTTCGCTCCACGAAGTTGGTCGAGTAGTTCGTCGGCTCGCGGGATAGGGTAGCATGACTTGATGGTGATCATGTTGAGCGCGCGGTAGTCGATGCACATTCTGAATCCTCCATCCTTCTTCGGCGTGAACAGTATTTGGGCAGCGTATGGGGACATGCTGGGCCGGATAAATCCCTTCGTCAGAAAGTAATCCAGTTGCTGCTGCAATTCTTCCAGTTCTGGTTGGCTGAGCCGAAATTGTCGCTATACTGTCGGTTGGGTGCCTGGTTCCAGCTCGATGCGATGGTCTTCTGGTCGGCTCGGCGGAAGTCCAGCTGGTAGGTCGTCCGGGAAAATCTTGGGGTATTTCTGAATCAGGTTCGCTAAATCCAGAAGGAACGGCTTCGCACAGCTTCGCGATATCTTCGGCTGTTGTCGTCGATGTCACCTCGCGAAGATCAACGGCGTACGCTGCAGCTCCCGCTTTTATCGCGCGCTTGAAAGTGATCGCATGGACTTGGGTGCTTCGCATGCGAGGCCTTGTCCATGTCGGTAGCTCACGGGAGATCCCATCGAGCTTTATACTGCAGTCGCCCGTCGTCCAGTTGATCTTCGGGTTGTACCGTCGCAGCCAATCTCGTCCCAGCAGCACGTCGCACCCGTCGAGAGTAGTCGCCAGCATCCCCATCCGAAATTTTACATGCTCCCCGCTATGAAAACTGACGTTCTCCACTCTCTCCCGTATTGCCAGCGGTGTTCCATCCACTTGAGCAGGGGTATACCCAAATTTTTAGCCCTGCCCAGCTGTATGAGACTATGACTCGCGCCTCCATCAACGAAAATCTTCAATAAAACTCTGTTGACTTTACCCTCCACCAGCACAAGGTGATCAGCAGTTTCGTCCCCCTAATTTGTCAGGGTCCGGTTGATTGCAGCTATCGAGATCACGACCCGGTGGGGACTGTGTGGCTCGGGCGGTGAAGCCTACCCATAAATAAGGGGCCCGATACTTACTAGCGCGACCCATTTCTTGGTCGCTCCTCCGGATTCTTCCTCATAGAATTCTGGAGGGCTATGAATTCTTGGCAGTTGCGTCGGATGGGACTCGTTCAGCCACAGTGGTAGCATAGCCCCGTATTTCTTGGAGCAGCTGCGTAAATATCCATTGCGTCCACCCCTTTTATCGTGGCGCGCTGGTACTTTTTTCGAGGGCGACCTCCGTCGTATAAGTTTGTCCTCGGCTTCGTGAGCGAATTAGCGGCTTCGGCGAGCTGGATGAAGTCTTGTAATTGCTTTGCAAGACGTTGCAATTTTATCTGGTATTGTATTTCAGGCTTCAGCCCGCCCATGTACCTGTCGACCTTCTCCAACTCGTGCATGTAGCCACATCTGTCCACCAACGTCAAGAATGACGCGGTGTACTCGGACACAGATCCCAGCTGCTTCCACATGCGTAGAGTCTCGCGCGCTTTGTTTGAGTCAGGAGCATGCTCAAACCGCCTGTGAAGCTCTGTGCACGACGTTGCCTACGTACGAATGTGGGTCGCACTGAACAACAAATCTGCCTCGTCTTCGTCGCCAAATTCTTCGGACCACTCGTACTGTCCTTCTGTGCGAGTTGCCGCTGAGTCGACGATGACCTTCCACCACTGTAGGGCGGCCCCTTGCAATAGTGTTAACGCGTGGCTGATCCACTTCTGATGGTCTGGGATGCCCGCCATGTTAAAATAGATATTCATGGCGAATATCCACTGCCTCACCGTCACGCCTTTATTAGCTAGGTCGAAAGGAGCGGGTTCCTGATATCTCACGCCGCCACTTGTCGAGCGCGGGGTTGTTGCCGCTAGTCGTGCCAGCTCTTCTGGCGACGGTTGCTTCTCACCCGC